TTTTCATGAGCTGCAATATGTATACTTAGATTATGTAACTTCTCACAACTGGTTATTGCTTGGAGAGTGAGGGTCTGGTTCTCCTATTTTCTGTTTGCTGAATTTGTTAGTTGTAGAAGCATTGCACTTTAAACGTAGCATGAATTCACAACCAGTAAGTAGCTGGAACTCACGAGAATAAAGTCATCTCTTGTATTAATGCAATAGCTGCATTAATCACCAGAAAGACAATTCTTGGCTGTATTATTTTATGTAGATCCTGACTAAGAAGAATATTTATATTATGATTACAGTAGATAAGATATTCTGCTTCTTTCAGTAGCCTGCTGAAAATCTCATTCTATAAATCTTATTTAGTTAACTCAAGTTTCTGTCGAGCTATTAATAGAAATGAAATATGACATCAGTTTATATAGAAAAAGAATCACACAAAATGACAAAATATGTTCTGCTACTGAGAGCTTAGCTTACCCACTTATAGATGCATGCTTTTGTCACTTAACTTTGTTGTGGAAGAGCATTACATGAATAGATAAATCTTGACTTTTCTTTTCTGTTTCTTTTTTTTTCCTTTTTAATCTTTTTCAGGTCAGGTACCATAGTAGGAAAAAACTGGCGGAACAACGGCCACGAGTCAGAGGACAATTTGTTCGGCGGTCAGTGTACTTGTACTGCAGATCTTAATATTTTACCTATTTAATAATGTATAGAATAATAGGTTGAGCTAGATTCAGTCAGTTTAAGTTTTTAAAAAAATTGACTCGACTGTATTTCTGATGGTATTGAAGCAAAAAGATTTATATTTGAATGCTAGCTGTTTCCTTTCTGTTAACAAATTAATTTTGCATGATATCTAGTGAATTTATATTTGATCAATACCTTTAGGTTAACAGGATTGCACTTGAGAAAGACTTTTGACGCACAAAAATTATTTCGACCTGTTTTTATCAACATACGCATTGAGAAAGACTGCTTTTACTCTATTATTTCATATGGTATGAATAAGAGGTTTCGTTTTGAATTTTGGATTCTATGTTACCGTTAAAGATTAAGTTCATACAATGTGTAGTTGATGTTTGATTCATGCTTTTATCCTAATAGATTTGGGTGTGTTTATGTATAGAATAATAGATTGAATCATTTTTTATAAGCTCAAACTTTTCATAAGCTTTACTATTTCATAATTTTATGGTATGCGGGTCTTGACATTTTCTTTTTGAAAAATCAGGTATGATTCCAAATCTGGATTTGATTGTCCAAGCAGCGGCGTAGCATCTGAAGACAATTCTTGTGACAGTGTAAGATAACACAGACAGGGAGTGCAGATTGCTAACTCGTCTTCCCTTGGTAACATATGTGGATTTGTATACGTAAGATAGCACTAGCACAGCATCTGGTGTAGGGAGGGTACCCTTTGAAATTTGGGTAGAGGGAGGGATTTTTAGGGTAGGGACTCTTGAAAAACTCTCATTACCATCTTTCCCAGAAACAGAAACTGGACTCTGCAACATTTACTTCGGACTGTTCTATGTTATGTTTGGTGACTTTGAATCTCTCTGGAGGATGATATGTTTGCATTGCCTAATTTCCTTCAATAAATATAATCTTGGTGGTGTGTTATCTACTCATGTTTGGTTTAAAAGCTTCACTTCTGTGATTTGATCCTTCAAATATGAGAATTTGAAGATGGGTAGAAAGCAATTCTTCTGAAATTAAAAGATCTTGAGAAAGAAAATTTTTTGAGCTATGTTTTGAATATATGAATTTTGTTTGGTTAATTTGACAGAGTAGTTGAAGATTTCATGGTTGATAATTGAAGGTCCTGTCTCTGAGTTTGTGTATATGTGTCTATATATATATATATATATATATATATCTGTATGTGTATGTATTGAAATGGGTGAAATCAAAGTAGGCCGTAGGCGTGCTCTGCTCTGTTTGTTGGCAGAACAGCAAAATAGTTGTTTATAGCTAATATGCAGGTGAGCTTTCCACTCTGCACACACACACACACATATATATATATAATTGATAGTTTCAAGGTTGATCCCTATTCTTTTTATGTATCCCCCCCCCCCCCCCCAAAAAGAAAAACTTCACATATATATATATATATATTTAAAGTCAAATATTTTATTAGTAAAAGGATCAAAACCTGAATCCAGTATATCACAACAATATTCTTCCAACAGGATAAGGAAGCCTGCATCCCAGTAAATATATATATATATTCCTCTAATGGAGATCTGACGAGGATGATGACCTCGATTGTGTCATATAAATCTAATTGGAAATACTAGAAAACTTCCCTAATTTATCTATTACCCATATATATATATATATATATTGAATTTCCAGCCTATAAATGAGGCAAGTAATATGGATTATACAAAGAGCTAACTAAACGGATTGGAGTAAAACATCACATATTTCTGTACATATATATATTGAAAAGATTAATTTTAGAACTGTAATAAAACGACAAGGTCCTACTAATTTAACTCTCCTCTTATTACCCGTATATAACTACTGTCTTTGAGTCACTTGAGTTAACGAGGTTGAACTTTTCCTGTCGGTTGGGAACGAGTAACACAGCTCATTAGCTGCAGGCAAAACTAAACCGACGACGAAATTGAAACGAAGACTTTCAGCGTTTGTTTAATTTGTTAATTAATTTTACATTTTTTTAAAAATTTGTTTTTGTTTTTCTGTTATATTGCAGGGAGCAATTAGTTGCAACGATAATTAAAGATTTAATTACTATTCTTTTTAATGACGTAGAGAGCGTATAGCAAAATAATATTCTTGACTGATCTGGTTTTTTTATTATTCGTTTCGTTATATATAAATTATATTTATCGGATTTGTAGACAACGATTTTCAATTCATTACCAACATCATTAACCAGGTTAATTGATTAATTCATTAAATTTTTTTTTCATGTTTCCAGAGAAATTATACTCCTGGGAGAAAAGGGGAGAAAATAAAATGGGGAGAAAACCCGGAGAGGAAACCAACAATAATGTCGCGGTGGCTATAGACAAAGATAAAGGTAGCCAATTTGCGTTGAAATGGACTGTCGAGAATCTTCTCTCCGGCGGTCAGACGCTCACTCTCCTCCATATTAGAACAAAGCAACCTTCTAGTATGTCAGCCGCTTCTGCAGGTTAAATTGCTTTCATCAATTCCTTTTATCTTTCATGTTATGATTGAATTTTCTGTAGTCTTCCAATATATATGTAATGTGTAATATAATGTAATGTTCATGCCATATTTTACTCAAAATTTCTTTGACGATCATCGTTATATTAAATGCTTTAGTGATCATAAGATCATGTACAATTTGTCGAGAACAATAACTTGGAAAAATTATGAATGCATTATTTGTATATATGAATATATATGTGTCTGTGTGTGTGTGTTTAATTAACTAAGCTAAATTTTCTCTATATATTGACCAACTTGGTTTAATTTCTCTTTTTTTTTTCTTTTTTTCATGGGAGCAGAAGCAATTGAAGAAGCTGCTAGAAAAGCTAAAGCAGACACTCAATACCAGGAATTGTTCCTTCCGTTCCGATGCTTTTGTGCGCGGAAGGATGTGAGTATGAATTACTTTCCTGGGTATCCTAATGGAATCCAAAACGAAAAGTAGAAAATTAATGGTATTAAATTGTCCCGAAAAAAGTTTCAGAGATATCTCATTATCGAATAAATAAAAAGTAGTTATATAGAATTTGCATATTGTTCTTCACTTAATATGAACCTATATGCTCAATGTTCTTCTTAAATTTCCTTTTCCATTGACTTGTTTATTCTGCAGATAAAATGCAATGAAATCATTGTGGACGATTTGGATATACCTAAGGGAATAATCGAATACGTGACTAACAACATAATGGATACTTTAGTACTCTCTGCACCATCTAGAAGTGGGTTTGTAAGGTAATTGAGCTACTCGAATTTAATCTTAGTTAAGGTGAAATTGTTCATGAATGCTTAAAAGCTAATTGTTTCAATAAAATTATAATAACTGCATTTCGTAAGTGTTCTGATTGAGCAGAAGATTTAAGACTACCGATGTTGCAAATTCTGTACTGAAAGTGGCGCCAGATTTCTGCACAGTGTACATCATCTCAAAAGGGAAAATGTCGTCGGTAAAAAATGCCAGCGCTCCGCCACCGACCGCAAAAATAACCAGCCCCCGACATCAGTTACAGAACCAAACTAGTCACTTGTCTGAATCGATGATAGATAATTTGAGGACTAACCAAAAGTCAAGAGGTTTGTCAATTAATTTCTTTAACCAAAATCCAATTAAGAACACTCAGTCTTTAGCGACTGAATTTTTGTCCTCCTATTATGGCAGGAATTGTTAAGCTGCCATATATACCTCCTAGAATTCATGAAGACTTGGATATCAAGTAAGTAGAGATGGAATTGTTCTTTACCGACAGTTTTGTTTGTCATCTTTTGGCTCTCTCGGGTTTCCGTCGGATTTCGTAACTGACGGAAAAACAATTACTTGTGGAATAGGTCACCTTTTACAAGATCAGGAAAGAGTTATGCCATTAACTATAAGCCTCCCACATTGCCGGAGACCGATATATCATTTGTTAGCAGTGGCAGACCAAGCACGGATCGGATGCTCCCAGGTTTCTACGAGAATTCTGATCCAGGAATGACGCCGCGTTCGACGGGATCAGAATTTGATGAAAGATTTAGCTTTGCTTCATCATACACAACAAAGTCAGTGGAATACCCTTCCCAATTCTCAACATGCTCACAAGAAAGTGGCAGATCATCTTGCTCCATCTCAGCACCTTACAATGTAAGCTTGATCATATATATAAGCATAAAAGGTGGCATATACATGTATATTTTCCATATGGGCTTAGTCAAAATTTACTCTTTATGCACCTGAGACAGAGTGACTGATATAATATATATATATATATTGACTGGAAATTACAGGATGACTGGGAATTAGAGATGAAGAGGCTTAGATCAGAGTTGAAGCAAACAATGGATATGTATAATAACGCCATTAAAGAAGCTGTCACAGCAAAACAGAAGGTACGCACATGCTGATTTTTAAGACCCAGAAAAATTTTCCTTACATTTTTTCAGAATCATAAGCAAAATTATACCTTGTCATCACTACATATACAACAGGCTAAGGAGCTTCATCAATGGAAAATGGAGGAGCAACAGAGATTAGAGGAGGCAAAATTAGCAGAAGGAGCTGCTCTGGCAATCGCAGAGAGGGAAAAAGCCAAGTGTAGAGCAGCCCTTGAAGCAGTTGAAGCAGCTAAAAGAATTGCAGAGCTTGAAGCTCAAAAGAGAATAAGCGCAGAGAAGAAAGCTCGGAGAGAAACAGACGAGAAGAAGAAAACTGCCAAGAGTAATTTCAGTCACGCCGATCTCCGGTACCGGAGATACACAATAGAGGAAATTGAAGAAGCAACTGAGCATTTCTCAAGTTCTCGTAAAATCGGAGAAGGAGGGTACGGACCTGTTTACAAGTGCTCTTTAGATCACACTCCGGTCGCCGTAAAAGTTCTCCGACCAGACGCCGCTCAAGGCCGATCACAGTTCCAACAAGAAGTTGAAGTTTTAAGCTGCATACGTCATCCAAACATGGTTCTCCTCCTCGGAGCTTGCCCTGAATACGGCTGTTTAGTCTACGAGTACATGGCTAACGGAAGTTTAGAAGATAGACTTTTCCGGCGAGGAAACACGCCGTCACTTCCATGGCAACTCAGATTCCGAATCGCCGCAGAGATCGGCACCGGTCTCCTCTTCCTCCACCAGACGAAACCAGAGCCACTCGTCCACCGTGATTTAAAACCCGGAAATATTTTACTCGACCGGAACTTCGTGAGTAAAATCAGTGACGTGGGTTTAGCCAGACTGGTCCCGCCGTCGGTGACCAATGCTGTAACTCAGTATCGGTTGACGGCGACGGCCGGAACTTTCTGCTATATCGACCCGGAGTATCAGCAGACAGGGATGTTGGGGATAAAATCAGATATTTATTCACTTGGGATTATGTTTTTACAGATGATAACGGCGAGGCCGGCGATGGGTTTGACTCATCATATTGGAAGAGCCATTGATAAGGGAACTTTTGCAGAGATGCTGGACCCTACTGTGCCCGACTGGCCGGTTGAAGAAGCTATGACCTTTGCTAAACTAGCTCTACATTGCGCCGAGCTCCGGCGGAAAGACCGGCCTGATCTGGGTAAAGTTGTGTTGCCGGAGCTTGAAAGATTGAGAGAACTCGCTGAACAAAACATGCCTATGTTTGGATTCGGAGCTCCATGTCCGGCGAGTTCGCCGAACTTCACCCAAACTTCAATCTCATCTTCTCAAGTGAGTTCATACAACGATCTTTATAATTTTATGAGAAAAATACTAATTTAGTTTCCAAATATCTTCAATTATTGTTGAACTAGTTTAATATTTAGGATATTTTGCATATATTTCAAAAGATATTGTGTTCATATCGTAAAAAATATTCTTAGAAAAAAAAAATTTAATACTTTATCTACGTAAAAATCTTTAAATTATTATAAAAACAAGTTTATTTTCAATCTTATTAGATATATTTATCGAATTATATTAAATTATATATATATATCAAAAAATATTTTGTGCATATTGTAAAAAACATTTTAAATAAAATTTTTAGTACTTTATCAATACTATTTTTTTTTTAATTTTATCGGTAATATATTCTTAACTTATTATTAAAAAAATTATGTAACTGTGTGCATATTAAAATTTAATTTTCTAACAATTAAGCATTTAAATTAAAAATATTTTCTGGGTAATTTGTTTTGTAGGAAGTAATAAGTGATCAACCATCACATCAATCTGGGTCTGAGGGTTCAAGAAGCAGGACAAGCACATCTTCTCCTGCAGGAAGAATACAGAGTGTGAACTGAGGTATTTGTATGTATGTATGTATGTATGTATGTATGTATGTATGTATAACTATCGGGTAATTTTATATTTGTATCAAGTCCTACAGAGTAATTTGAAATTACAACAACATTAAACCAATGTGAAGTTGAACTCGGAGATCTTGTAAGTAAATTCCAAGGAGACAAACAAAGTTGGTCTATCATATCCTCAAACGTCGTAGTTTCATTTTAGTTCATTCTTTTTCATTTTGTAATTATACAAATTTTAGAATGCAATTTTCTTTGAAAGATTGTTAATTTAAATTGAATTGTATTATTCGACTAATAAATTGTGTTTTTGTATTTATTCTAATTAGGAAACTGTTTTAAAAGAGTTTTAAGGAGACTATCCAAGTTCAACCAATGATCGTCTAAGAAAAAAAAAAAAAGGCTTTGACCAATGAATTTCGACCAGATTGCCACGTGTCATCGTACCATGTGTAGAAAATAGACTTGTGTGGATATCTTTGTAATCCGATTCAACCAATCAATTTCAAGAAAAGTGCCACGCTGGCACATATCCGTAAAAATAAGCTCGTGGATATTTTAGTTCTTCTTCTTCTTCTTCTTCATCTTCTTCCTTTTTTCTTTCCCCATCTCCTCCGAACAATGTCGACGACTGCAACAGGACTCTACTCTTCCCTCAACATTTGTCCAACAAAATCATCATCATCATCATCATCATCATTTTCCCATTCAAATTCTCACCAACCAAACACCCTCTTAGCAGCGAAACCGAAAAGCCTTCTCCAAAAGAACCCTCTCTACGTAGCCGTAAATTCAACCGTCCCTTCCCAGATCAAAGAGAAAATCCTCTGTCTCGAACTCATGGGTGTTGACTCAGGCAAAGCACTCGCCCTTAACCCATCTCTCCACTCAGCTTCTCTTCACTCCATCGAATCCATCGTCTCCTTCCTCCAATCCAAAGGCATTCACCAGAAAGACCTACCTAGAATCGTGGGGATGTGCCCTCAAATCCTCACCTCCAACGTCAAAACCGAACTCAACCCAGTCTTCAGTTTCTTATCACATGACCTAAAAGTCCCGGATTACATGTTCAGAAAAGTGATCAAGAAATGCCCGAGATTACTGACGTCGAGCGTTGAAGATCAGCTAAAACCCACCCTGTTTTATCTCCAGAGACTCGGGTTCAAAGACTTAGACTCATTGGCGTACAACGACGCCGTTTTGCTTGTGTCTAGTGTTGAAAAAACGTTGATTCCCAAACTTAAGTTTTTGGAAGGATTAGGGTTTTCGAGGAAGGAGACGGTAGGGATGGTTTTGAGGTGTCCGGCACTCTTGACCTTCAGTGTGGAGAATAATTTTAAACCTAAATTGGATTATTTTGTGAGGGAGATGAAGGGAGAGTTGGAGGAATTGAAGGATTTTCCTCAGTATTTCGCTTTCAGTCTGGAGAAGAGAATAAAGCCGAGATACATGGAGATGGTGCAGAGCGGGTTGAAGGTCTCTCTGCCATTGATGCTCAAGAGCACACGTGTAGAGTTTCAGGAGTTGATGAGACGGGGAACATAATCACTATTGTAAATAATTTAATCCTGTATGTATGTGATTAATTGTTGTATTAATCACTAATCCCAGGCCTAATTAGTTTTGTTAAATTTTTTTAAGTGAAAATTTATGAAATGCAATACTCGTAGAATTGGACTGAATAAACTGAAAGTAATCATATGCTCTGGTTTAAATATTGAAAATTATACATTATTTTATGTATAAACTACAAATACTATATTATAAATGATACAATATATAATTTAATTTAACCAAATATATATATATATAACACATATATTATGCTATAATATGTATTTAAAAGATTATGTTAACTTGTCCAGGTTGGAATCGAAATGGATTGTTCTTCCCATTTGTGCCTTTCTGTCATATTTTGGTTTCTTAAAGTAGAATATAATTTTAAATATGTTTTATCTAATATACAAAATTAATTAAATTAATAATTTTATATTTTTACTGATATAAATAATTTAATGTAAATATTTTTAGAAATATAGAAATTAATTTGAAACAAAATCATATATATATATATATATATTAGAAAGATTGAAATGTATTTTAGCCTCTGTGTATATGTGTGTGTATATATATATATATATATGTAGGAGCTTTGGATAGGTTGTAACGAAACAAAACCTTCCCTGCCTAAAACCTCACACACTGAAATCCAAACCCAAAGCAGGATGTTATCGACGCTGCAACCTTCGCGTTCCTTTTCTCGAATCCCTTTCTGCTTCCCTTCATCACCCAAATTCCGTCCTCTTCACAGCTCAACTATCCTATCTTCTTCCCATCCTCTCGCCGACCAATCCCCTCCTTCCACCTCTCCTCCCCATTCGCAGATTCTCACCATCCGTCACTCTATCCTCTCCGGTCAACTCACCGCCACCCAACTCGTCCAATCATACCTCACTCGCCTCCGAGCCACCGAGCCCCAACTCAACTCATTCCTTCACGTCTCAGACGCCGTCTTGAGAGACGCCCAAGCCATCGATGAGAAGATTAAGAGAAATGAGAATGTGGGTCCGCTGGCTGGAGTGCTTGTTGGGGTCAAGGACAACATTTGTACGGCTGATATGCCCTCAACTGGCGGCTCCCGGATCCTTGAGAACTATCGACCGCCGTTTGATGCGACTGCTGTGAGGAGAATTAAGGAAATGGGGGGAATTGTGGTTGGGAAGACCAATTTGGATGAGTTTGGTATGGGGAGCACCACTGAATCCTCTGGTTTTCAGGTTCGCTTATTTATTATTTTTTTATGAAGATTAATTGCAGGTTTGATTCAATTGCTTTCTATGTTTTGACAGTGTATGTTGTGAGTGTGGGAATTAAAGAAGAGAAAAAATAAGAATAAACTCAAAAGAGATGAGAAGAGAAAATAGTTATTGATATGATCTTCTGATATGAATTTTACAGCTAACTGACCAGTGTTTAAATAGACCAATTACTCCAAAAATATAGATACAAATTCTTGGTCGTTGTCATCTTAGATGATAGTTACAATTTTTATAAGTTTCTTAGATAATATATAATTCACATTAACTAAAATTCTAATAAAAAATAAATACTAAATTTATTTAACAGTATGTGCGCGTGTAACGGGTATCTTTTTTTTGTTTCTCAATTATCTGTGAAGCAGTGGTATGGCATTCTTGTTGATCTTTTATGAAGATTAACTGTGGGTTTGATTCAATTTCCTTCTATATTTTGACAGTGTAGGTTGTGGGTGTGTCTGTAATGGGTACCTGTTTTTTTGTTTCTAAATTATTTGTGAAGCAGTGGTGTGGCATTGTTCTTGATTTTCATAGTTTAAATACTCTTAACTTCTGAATGGGAATTTTGTTAACAATGGTTTTTGTTTCTTGTCTGTGTTTGTTGTTTGTCTTCTTCAATTGAATTTGTAAGTGAAAGCTTTAAGAATGTTGCAATGAATTACATATATTATTTCCCACTGGTAACTGGAGTTGGTTTACTCAGGTGATAAATGTGTTAATTCGTTAGGTGACTGCGAATCCTTGGGATGTGTCTCGGGTGCCAGGAGGATCCTCAGGAGGTTCGGCTGCAGCAGTTTCTGCTAGGCAGTGTGTAGTATCACTTGGTAGTGATACTGGTGGAAGTGTAAGACAGCCAGCATCATTTTGTGGTGTAGTTGGTCTGAAGCCGACATATGGGCGTGTGTCAAGATTTGGGCTTATGGCTTATGCATCATCGCTTGATGTCATTGGATGCTTTGGTTCATCAGTCGCTGACGCCGGAATTCTTCTTCATGTTATTTCTGGACATGATAGATTTGATGCTACTAGTAGTAAGCAAGTACAATTTCTTCTTCCTTCGCCTGGACCCTTTTGTTTTTTCTTTTTGTTTTTCCGGGATAAAATAGCCCAGGCCAAAATAATATGTTTGTCCTGTTAAATAGTTTTTGATAGAATCTTGAAAATCCAAGAGTTTATCTTGGCTAAAGGAAAAAACTTTGGGTTTGAGTAAAGGAATTAGGGGACTTTCTATTTGTATTAATCAGGAAAAAAAAATTGTCATGCATATGTGTTTCGTGTCTGGGATTGCTTAAACAATTCGGTTGCTGTTAGTTAAAGAGTCACAAGTATGGGACTACACAATCTATGATATCTCATGCTTTCTCTATCAGGCCCCATGTGACTTTATCGGTCATTTTAAACAAGGGGGACTATATTTATTTAGGTATTATGATCCAGTAGTTCTTGAAATTTTCTCAGTTTATTAAGGTTTAACATTTTAATCTTAATTCAACATTTTAGTTTGTCAGACCACTGACTTGTGGGGTGGCCAGAATAGGCGCAGGCGTCAAGGTCAGCAGAAATGTAGGAGCCGAGAGGAATAATCATGGAGAAAAGATGAGAGGAGATAGAGAAGAATAGAGAAAAGTGAAGAAAATAGAGAGAAGGAAATAGAGAGGAAGAAGGAGAGAATAATTTCTATAGATTTTTCTCATGCATATATCTCCATCGGTACAATATTTGTACCATTTCCAGCCGGGCTAAATAGTACAACCAGGACAAACTACAGGAGCTGGCATTCCAGCCTGTCCCAACCAGAGGTTTAAAACAGTTATTCTAACAGAATTAGTAAAAGGAAAATGCAAGGAAATTGATAGCAGATAACAATCATAACTTCACCCGCACTGTGCTTTCTTCCTGACATAGTTTAATAGGAATCCCATGTTTCAGGAGGTGCCTGATTTCACATCTCAATTCACTTCTATAAATTTTTCGGAATCCAAGCCACTGAATGGACTGAGGGTTGGATTGATCCGTGAAACTTTGGATGATGGCGTTGATTCCGGAGTGAAATCAGTAATCCAGAATGCTGCAACTCATCTGGAAGAATTGGGATGTGTTGTGACAGAGGTATTCTTGAATTTTTGTTACCATACTGTGCAAATATATATGAATATAAATTTCAAATTCTCATTAAAATTTTATTACAATATCATGACAGGTTTCATTGCCATCCTTCTCTCTTGGGTTACCAGCCTACTACATTCTTGCTTCATCCGAATCATCTTCCAATTTGTCACGTTATGATGGTGTCAGGTAACTTTTTCCTAGAGATTCTATTTGTTCATAGATTATTGGTTTAGTTTTTGTTGCGGTGGGGATAAGTTGACTGTTATGAGTGACCAGAGTAGAGCTTCAGTAATATTTTAGTGGGATTAATTAGTACTCTATTTTACTGATCAATTATACTCTTCTAAATCAAGGAGAGAAGAGATTTCTACAATTAATTTCTAAATCCCGATAGATAATCAAGACGATTGATATAACTTCTACGGGAAAAAAGTAAAGAACTTGGATTTGTAAATCCTTATTTGTTGAAGTAAACCTCAAGATCCCTGATACCTCATCCTCCTTTTTGAATGAGAAATTAACAAAAGCTTTATTTGTTTTTGAGGGGGAGAGGAACAGAGGGAAAGAAAATTGTTTTCACCTTTAATTTTTAAAATAAAAGACTACGAGCATTTTCGTGTATTAAATGTGGCCTAAACTGTCAGATTTTTTTAACTTTTTTCAAGTTAAAGTGGAAGTAAGAATTAAAAAAAAAAAGAATTATATATAGCAGTACTACCATTTTCATTTTCATCACTTCTTTTAAGGGTCCAACCAATACCAGCTGATTAAAATTTTTTTTGGTAAATGGTTATCTCAAAAAAAAAAAGGGTAAAATGGTAATACATTAAATTTACAAATTCCTCCCTCCATGTCCTAATCAAATTCTCACTATAAACATGTCTTTTTTGGGCTTTCACATCTTTTTTGTATAATTAATATTATTTGACACTTGTTCCTGATGTTTCATGACTCTCATTCTTCTCACACCATTTTGGTTTTCTAGATATGGAAACCAAGCTGCTGCTGCTGAGCTAAATGCACTTTATGAAGATTCCCGGGCTAAAGGATTTGGTCCTGAGGTACAATGCAAGTGATACTAATTCCTTTATCATCTGTTTGCTTCCATTTTGAAAATAAAAGCTGTCTTTGGTCTTCTTTTTTAATAGTTTGACATTTTTCTGATCTTTGTGCAACTAGTTACCACTTAGCTACAACTATAGGTTTTTGTAAGATTTACTGCTTGGCTTACAGGAGAGATCTGAAATGGAATTTTTCTTTTCAGGTGAAAATGAGAATTTTGATGGGAACGTATGCCCTTTCAGCTGGATACTATGATGCATATTACAAGCGTGCCCAGCAGGTATCACAAAATTCATACTGAAATTTGTCATTTGTAGAATCATGTTCTATACTGGCGAAGATAAAGCTAGTGGTCAGGAGCTGCCCCAAGTTTCTTTCTTATAGGCATTATTTCTTTTGGAAAACATATCTCTCTTGTAATCAGTAGGATTACAGGAATCAAGAATTGGTTGATCTTCTTATAATCTTTTGGCTGTATTGATTTTCCTATCCACACCCCAAAATTTACCTTTACTTATTTGTTTGAATATATGTGCTTGTGTCAAGAAACTGCTGAAGCCACTAATAGTCTACTGCAGAAGAAAGGGTAAAAAAGGAAAAATCTTTACAGGGCAAAAGGGATAAATATACGGGGGTAGGATGGACTTTTCCAGTGTAATCACTGCAACTAGGGTTAGGGTTTTGGAACAATGAAACAGAAATCTGAAAGGGACCCTAACCCATGGGCCATTTGAGCCATTGCAACTTCCAGGTGTGCCTGGAGGTTACATGTCCCACTTCCTGCTCAATTTCCCCGCCATTTGTAGCCTATAAATAGGCATAATCTCTGTGAATGAAGGCATTGAAATCTATTTACCTTAAAGCAGATGAAGTCTCTGTTTCTCTATTTTCTCTTTTCTTTTCTCAGATCGGAGCCATGGGTAAGGCTTCTGACAGCTGGTGTGTTTGTTTGTCCTAATGGCACATTGAAATTTTGTTTTGTTCTAGATTCTTTTTCCTTTATTATGACCTTCAAGAAGATATTACTGTAATTTTGTTCTAGATTCTTTATTCCTTTGTTATGATCTTCAAGAAGATATTTATGACTCTGGTAGTGTTCAGGTAAGGACTTTAATCCGGAATAGCATCAAAGCTGCACTTGATCAAAATGACATCCTTATTTCACCAGCAGCTCCATCTGCTGCATATAAAATTGGTAAGAAACTTCTATAATATATATGTGTGTATATATATATATATGGATGTTCTTCCTTGATATTTCAGTCAGGCATCTTTGTTATGCCTTTCGATTTGCCACCAATATTAATCTTATGCTGAACTATAAAAAATAAATGTGACTGGTAATGTTCGCAGGTGAAAAGAAAGATGATCCATTGGCAATGTATGCAGGTGACATTATGACTGTAAGCAGCTCAATGCTTCTCGATTTTTTTGTTCTATTGAAAACCTTGTTCCTTCCCTACTGTATCTATTGATTAGTTCAGGATCCCTCTTAATACAATTTTTTCTATTCAATCTTCATAGTACCTAGCATCAGAGAATAGATCTCTTTTGCTCAAGATGGCAATATCACTGCATTGTCGATGGTTGAGTAAATACATGCTTTCAAATTAATGCAAAAACAAATCAGTCTCTGCATATTCTTTTGCAATTTCCATCAGGATGCTTATATTTTGGTTAAATCATTGAAAGTGAAAGCAGGGGAAGGCATAATACCGACGTTAGAATTTTTATGCTGTTCTAAGTTTTCAACTATTTCAACTTGAGTTTTTATTTTCTGACTGCATGATTCCTTACTGGATGCAGGTAAATGTTAATTTAGCTGGGCTACCGGCGTTGGTTTTGCCATGTGGATTCGTTGATGGAGGACCTGCAGGACTTCCCGTTGGTCTTCAGATGATTGGTGCAGCATTTGATGAGGTATGCTTCTTGGATTATTCATGCCTATATAAACAATCAAGAATTTGGAAAAGCATCTTTTTGCACTCTCTAGAAAGAATAAACAAAAATGGGTAAAAAAAATGGGTGGGCGACCTAGTTTTTGCTTTTTTCTTGGGGAGTAAGAAGAGATAATTACTGAAAAATGTTTAGTTTGAATCATGCTATCGTTTGAAGGATAAGCACGGAGTCTTCTACTTAAGTGGATTAGTTGACGAGAAAATGGGCATATGAGCCATACTCACTCAAAGCATATTCAAATGCAAGGCTGAGTGTTTTCTGGCCCTTTGTTGCTTGTACTGCCAGTTTCTGTCGAAACAGACGATTCTCATGTGCATGGTTATGAAGTAGAGAAAGTGATTCTTGATATAGTAGGAAATCCATATATATTTTTTGCTGAAGTAGAAAAACCACCTATTTATACACATGCATGATTTCCTTGCCGATTCTGAGCTGGTCAAGCCGATACGACCTTTAGTTCCAACAAATTTTCCTTCGAACTAGAAAGGAGAAGATGTTTTTGTTTTTTGTAACCCTGTTTCCTTTTGTCGCAGCAAAAATTGCTTAGAGTGGGTCACATCTTTGAGCAGACCCTGCAAGATTGCAGATTTGTTCCTCCGCTAATAGCAGAAAATGAATCATCACCCTTCTGAAAATATAGAGGAAGTATCTCCCACTGCCTGTCAACTCCCATTAGTAGAGGATTAAAGATTTATATGCCCCTTGGTCATAATAATCTGCAATGTTTGATACATTGCTCGTTTGGCCGAGCCGGAAATTCTGTTTTCTAAAATTAATGGGAGATCGTGTATTATTATCTTTTGCCAAATCTCAAATTTATTTATCAATTTTGATGTGTATAGCATTTCTAACATGATATTTTTGGATTTAATTTAGTTGAATCCGTATTTAGTTAGCGAATGAGATATCTATCCCAACTTCTTAAGTGTCTTTACTCTACTTATATATGTTTCCTCTACTTTCCTCTGTTTGACCAGAGTAAAATTCCCTAACCCAAGATCAAAACTTCTCAAGTACGATTACAAGTTAATTGCTATTCTTGTTCTAAAATGGAGTTCCATGGATAAAAAAGACTCCTGAACATTTGGAAATAAAAACAACTGCATTAAGATGAACAAGTTCAGCAAGGAAGTTACAAATGCAACCTTAAAGGTTATTGCACGAAACCCATGGTATCGAACTAAAGCCTAATCTAAGATTAGACTATTTGAAGAATTTATCATAAATGCTAGTAAAATTCAAGATATTCAATAAATTTCTTTGACTCAAGTTGACTCTGTATGGATATAACAATGTCATTTGATTAAAATCGGGTCAAGTTTTAATTGTTCAAGTTGACTATGTAGTAATAAGATCAACTAAGTCTTATTTGGCTACTCCGTGAGCAATTATTCATGAGCATTATGGAGAAATCCTTTACGAAGAAGATACATTAGTTACATTCATATATGAAAAATTGAAATCTTGTGATATATTTCTAAATCTAGAAAAAAGAGTTGAGGGCTGGAACAAGCATATAACAATAATTCTTGAAATTTCTTAGGAATTCTTGATTGGTGCTGAGCTAATTATAGTCTAAAATCGTATCTTTTTTGTTAATAAAATTCAAAAGATTTATCGATATCATTGAGTACAGATCCATAATAGGCATATAGAAATTATTGTACGTTAAATAACATTAAAAGTATTGGTTTCAAAAGAGGGAATGTCTAATATTTTTTTATCTAGAGAACTGATTGGATTGTTACGAGCAGAACGAACAGGGCATGTCTTAAAAGAACGATTTGTTATCGAGTTATCTTATTAGGAATAACGATAACATTTCTGAATACTCAAAGTTTTATATCCGAAACAAGTTTTCAAGAAATTGATTGAGTTTTAACAAAAGCTGCTCTCTGGAGTCGTATCAATTGGTTGAAAGGCTTGAAAGAGAATGTTGTTTTAGGGGGGATGATTCCCAAAGGTACCGAATTCAAATGATTAGTCCACTGTTCAAGGCAACATACTAGCATTCTTTTGGAAACAAAAAAAAAGAATTTATATTTATTCGAGAGAAATATGAGAGATATTTTCTTCTATCACAGAGAATTATTTGACTTTTGCATTTAAAAGAATTTACATAATATATCTAAACGATCTTTTATAGAATTAAATGATTTTTAAGAGCGAATTCATCGTTTTAATTTAATTATTTCTTGTTTAATGTAGTAATTTGATTTGTTAATTTATTAAAAATAATAAAGATAATAATGAATAGAAAATAATGGCTTGGGTCGTGTATAAACAGCCAATCTCCGGTAGAAGAAAAGGTTCCATCGGAACGTTAGTATGGATATAATGTCAAAAATTTTCTGAACCAATTTGCCATTTCCGTAAAGTATATAATTGACAACTCGAAACTGCATATTATCCTTTTTCCGAAATAGATCTTGTGGGAAGAATGTCACTAAATTTATACTGTTTGCTATCTCATATGTGGTTACGGATCGCACCAAAACAAAATATTTTTTCTTGGTAGGTGTGATCCGTTGGACATAGATCCAATTTTTCAATTTTTTTGATTCCTTAGAGTTTGTTTTTCCCCTTCCTTGCGTTATTAAGATGTCACTATGTTGTAATGTCTTATCTGTTTTTCCTCAAAAATGAATATCTTCAGAAAAGATTTTAAGTTTGATACTTTTTTTTTTCAATTGAACGAATCCGCTGCTTGGTTTCTTATTTTAAAGTGATCCGTGTATCTACTCTAATGATATTATTATTTCATACCATTATGAAAAAAGATTCGGGTAAAATATGCACTTTATCAAGAATAAAAAAGAAAGCGATCTACTTTTATTTAGTATTTTGTCTTAAATTTTTTGACTTCTCGATACTCAATCACATCATCTTTTTTGACAATTGAATGCGCCCCTATAGTCCCATATTTAAGAATTCTCGAACTTTTTCTTCTGTATAAAAAAATCATCGAAAAAAGCAAAAATACTATTTCTACGAAAAATATTATTTATGGGTATCTCAATCGAGATATCTGAAAGTGACATTAGTTCTTTCTTTTGTTCTTGAATCGATTGGAATGGAACGATAAATCTATTTTTTCGTCTCTTTGCTAATAAATCCGAATTCTCATGAAGATTAGCAAAATATATAAGATTACAATAATTAACTTAAAAATGATCAGGAATTCTATATATTTTTTTTAATAAAAAAAATTTGAACTAAAAAATTTGTTTCTTGCTTGATCGTTATTCACTAAGAGGCTAGAAATAGACTCTTGTTGGATAGAAAGAGAATGAATGTTCGTTTGATCTTGATTCTTGTGGAGCGAAAAAGGAACTAGACTAGATCTGGATGAACTTTCTGATAATATCCATAAATAGCTTGTTTTTGGTGAGAGATGTACATTACTATACGTATATTCAGATGCATTTCTCCCTCTGAGTTAGAATAAATATGTCTTCGAACCCTCTCTTTATAATTTAAAGTGTATGTTTCCGCGCAAATCTCAGCAATTACTTGTTCTGATTCTACATATTGATTATTTTGGATTAGAAGAAAATTTTTTTGGTGGAATAGTCACATTATGTATGATATCTTCACTTTCAATAACTACAGACAAGTGTTATTATAACAGGGAAAAGGGGGATGCCCGTGTGCGTGTACGTGTAGGATGAACCAAATCCTAATCCATTTTTGGCTGACATTTCGAATGAGCAATTGCTCAATGTTATCTTGCTTTCCTGATTACAGAATGAACTTGTTCATCTATCATTTTGAGGATACGAAGCCAACAATGAAAATGGTCAATAAAAGAAGAAGATTTTTGTTCAATCTCATATACCCAGAAGATCCCTTTAAATGTATCAGTATCAAATCCAAATACAGTATCTACATACATGGTTAGGTAAAAGCACTGTCAAGACAACATAATAAACATTTATAAACACTAGGAAAGTAATACCCACTTAAAGCCATAATCCCAATTAACTTCACCTACTAATTAACCCAAATCAAAGTTCTAACAAGGTACCCGTTTCAGATCAGACCATTTTCCACCACTTCCTCCATAGATCCGCCACCCCTTATTCAATAACTGTGCTTCATCCCCAACCCGTGCTTGCCATGAACACATCCAGGCTTCACGTACAGATAAGGAGACCTCTTTGAAGTGTTCATCTTCGAGAACGCTCTCTTTCCCAACTTCCTCATCCTCTGTCTACCAAGCTTCCCACTCAAAGATCTCGGCACAAGCTCATCATCCAAATCATAACCATCAAACTCCTCGTTCTCATCCTCATCCTCGTCGTCTTCTTCCTCACCGTAACGATTACCAGCGTAATCACGACGACTGTACTGATAACCCACAAGACACCTACGCCCTTCATCGTACGGCCGATACCCATCGTTAAGATCATCATCACCATGGCAAGATCGAGGATCATCAATATCTTCATCATGGGTAATTTGAGTTTCATCTTGTCTTATGGAGGAGAGCGAAGAAGCGATGCCATCGGAGAGACTGTCTACAGAGAGAGAATCGTCGGAGTAGTCAGCATCAGAGTTGTTGATAAATTCCCAGTAAGAGAGATCGAATTCTTCTTCTCTTTCTTCCAACAAGAACCCGTCGTCAAGAACAAGCGAAGCCATTGTTGGTACACTGGATTTCATCGCCATTTTCTCTGGATCTCAAAAAATTTTCTCTACTCGGTCTTTTGATTCTGTGCTGAGGTGTTTTCTTCGATGCTCGGTTATTTTGGGAGTTCCTTTATATGAGGCACATGTGATGGCCCACGGAAGTCCGGGTGTCGTGTAAAGAAAGCTATTGGAACACGTGAGACCAACCAATGTTTGTATGCCACGTGTACATAAAAAGAGAGTAGTTAAAATATTTATAATGGATAATAAAATCTGTTGTTTATTTAATTATTACGAGGTGATGGCCGCATCTTATTTTAATTTATTTATAGTTATCCAAAAGAATTTAATTTATTTAAATATTAATAATTCCATTATGACTAAAAAACAGATAAATTAAAAATATATATATATATATATATATATACGTGTAAAAGGCTACTTCACATGCAAAATGAAAGAAATATTTAAGGAAGAAAAACATAAATAAATAAAAATCGAAAAAAGAAGGTGGCGATGGACCAACTGAAGGGATAATTTTGTGAATAAAATTAGAAAATTGATGTCCTCGTTTTAATGATTATTATTTAAAAAAAAAAAAAAAGCAACAGACATTTAACGAGGATAACGAGATAAGAATATTATGGTGTGCTTAAAAACGAATATGAAAAATAAATTTGTGCTTTTTGCAATATGAACAACACCAATTCAAGCCATCAGAAATCATAAAAGCAAAATTATGAACACCATGTAATTACTGTGACTGTAAAAACCAAAAATCCAAGTGTCACAAAAAATAAGTAAAATTTTCTGCGATCGCATCTGCATACACTGACATGGTACATCAATAGTAAGTCATTCCTTCTATAAATATTATCTGATTTAACAACTACCTTTTTTACTCTCTGTGCTGGCTGGCTGAGCAAGTAAAGTAAGAAGCATAGCTCTATCCAAAATGCTTATTACATTGAAATTAAACAACTTCTAGGGGAAGTAAGGAATCAGGCACTGATCATTTTTTTTATGAATGAAACTATTCTCTTGCTTTTCTTATCATTTTACCTGCAGATGTTGATCAGATTAACATGAACACTTCATCTGACAAATTGATAACTTCAAAATTGGTAGAACAACGCCCTTGATTCAGCACCTAACTCACCGAATCTGGGGAGGAGAACAGAGCAATCCTGAAGCATCTGCACCGACTACGGCAAGATCACATACAGTACAGAGCTTCCCTTCTTGGCTAGGCACAAATCTGGAGCTACAGTACGGGCATGATACATCCTTCTGTCCCCGATAAATTGGAACATATGTAGCCCCACATATCACAAAAGGGTTTCTAAAATCATAGTTCAGCTGAGAAGTATCAGTCATATTCCTCTCTGCAGCCTGAAGTACTTGTCTGGCTGTTTTGGATTGGTTCTCTATTGTGGGATTTGTCTCCAATAAACGTCTGGCAAAATGAGCAGCTGTCGCGAAATTCTTAGCCTTGTAGCAAATAGTCATCGCATTTAGCAACGCAAGCCTCAAGTGAGGCAATTGAAGATTGCAGTGAGTGAAGTAGGCAGCAAGTTCTTGCTGCCTTACAGGATCGTCTTTAAGTTCCCTCCTCTTAAGCTCCATTTGCAGACCAAGAACATACTCCTTGACTATAATAATCAACTCCTTCACTTCATCGACTTCCCTCCTAGATTCAACAACAACAAGGGGAATTATGTGAAGAATGCTTAGGAAAAGCCGAAGAGCATCATTAAATTTTCCAAGTTTAGTAGCAGTGTAACCAGCCTTAAGCTTCTCTTCCAACCGAGAGAAGTTGAATACAAGTGCTGGAGAGCCCCTCACATTAGGGCTAGCAGATAAGTCCCACCACCGTTCAACCGCCAATGATAACATCGGAGCAGAAGAAAATGCACGTAAATAGGTGTGGCTACCAGTGTGAATATCAAGAAACATAGATTTCAAAGGAGTGAAGTTTCGTATTCCAAGTTGCCTGCTTAGCAATCGCATTGCGGTATCAAAGTTCCCGGCAGCAGCATGTTCAGCTGCAAGAGATGATCTCTGGGTCCAAATCTGATTGACTGGCATACCTGGCGTTGGTGCCACAAAAACTGAAGACCGGGCACCAACAGAAGCCCTTGAAGCATCCACTTCAGGAGGTAGTTCCAAATCCTCAACATCCCAACCAGCTTCTTCCTCTTCTTCTGCTACTTCACCATTCTCCGACGTTTCAGAAACATCGCCATTCTGCAACCCATCCACATTAACCATATCAAGTTCCTCACCCCAATACCCATCACCAGCCTCCTCTTCATCCACTTCACCCCTGCCAACATTATCCAACCCACCTTCAAAAATGCCTTTCACGACTCTCAGGAGAGGCCAATCACCACCACACATAACAGGTGTTGGGGGCATCAATAGAGAGGGTGTTTTTCCCTCAGGTAATGGAGGAACATTGTCCTCCAATTCAGCAGCTAACCGATCAGCAATTTCCTGTAGTCCATGGACTGAAGCTGTGATGTAAGCAAGAGGTAAGTGGCCGACATTCTCTAAGATTTTTACACGCTCTTGGACATCACCCAAATACAGGGCATTGTGGAACTGACCCATTACATCATTCTTAACTTCAGCAATTTTCAGCATCTTGGATAACTTATCCATGTTTCCAGTAATGAGATAAAGGAATGATAACCTCTCAAAATTTTTTGTCCTCTGGTAGGCATATTCTACAATAGCTGAATTTCCTTGGCGAAGAGCCTCCACTCCCAATCTATACCAGTGATCTTTCTCATCAATAACCTTAGCAGATGCGACTGCAATTTCAATGTTTCCACTCGCCAATGCCAAATTGAAACGTGTTCTTTCATCTTTCACAAAATGGAGAGCAACTTCAGGGAACCCCTTTTGTTGCAGATAAGCAATTATTGCCTGCCCGCAAAGCTGTGAGTTCCTTATCATGCTCATAACATGGTCATATCTCTTCCTTATTAAAGATAACTTGAACATATATTCTGTTGAATCAATAACAACAATCCTATTTTTCCCATCACGTTCCAAGCAAAATATAGTGTTCCCAGAAACCTTTGTAATGTAAATTGGGACATCAAGCGTCCTAATAATCCCATTATCTCCATTAGGGAGGCAATACTTAATATGATTCAAGGTTGTGTATATAAAGACACCGTTATCATCCCAGGCTCCACTTTTTACACGGATCGTCTCATGAAGAGTGCACTGGTGCACAAGCTTCTTGCTAGCAATGATGATGGTATGTTTGCTGAGCAAGGCGACAGTCTCCATGTCATTTGACCAAACAACATACTTCACAAAAGGGGTTTGAAGATCACCAAGAACAAGCCTCTGCTGAAGATCAAATATAACCACCCTATCCTCTGCCCTACACAGTAAATTACCTGTTCCAGCATAGAATATTGCATCTGCAGCAATGGGAAGGCCACTCTTTTTAATCACTTCATTTTTTAGATTCTTGACTAAGACTTGGTTGCTACTTTTGTCAAGCACAGCAAACCTATTTCGAGCCACGAAAATAGCAGAACCTCCACTACCTCTCTTTGCCTCCTGGACATAGTCACTCCTACCAACACTGTCTTTGGGTATGACATACAACTCATAAGATCCCCCATCAACATCAGAGCAGATAAGAACGGCATTTTCAGTGGGACTGTAAGAAAGAGTCTTAGGACTCTGATTCAAAGATGTAGAACCCGGACGCCGAATTGGAATAACTTGTGTATCCTTCTGGGTTGAAAACTCATAAAATCGTAAAAACCGGTCTTTAGCATAAAACATTGAATCCCCACTTACAGAAAAGGCAGGCCTTTCTCTCTCCAGTTTAAAGACAATCATGCCACTATCATGACCTGCTGCCAAAAGATTCATCTCAGGGTGAGCAGCAAGGATCCAGAATCGATCATGCTCTCGACGGAAAGTTTGAATTCCAGTTCTCTTTGTTGCATCCCAGACACGAATACTTTTATCCTCAGAGTTTGATACAATTGTGTCCTGCTTGGCGTGGAACATAACACATGACACATTATTCATGTGACCCCTCAATGTATCCACTTCCCAAGCCCTTGTATCTACCAAAAAAAAAAGGAAGAAAAAGAATCACATCAATAACTGGGTTTCTTCAGTTAACTAAATCCACAGCACTAATATGTGCAACATAGTTATTATTTTTGGAAATAGCAAAATAACTATTCTGTAGTACACAAATTTAAGACAATAAGTAAAAGCTTATCATCATAAATAACTTCCTAAAGAAACAGTCCATTGCAGGGTTTTCTCAGTAGGCAAGTAGATAATTTCTCACCAAGAGTGGCATTAGCCAACTAAATGTAATGTCTTTTCTTTTTGAGAAATGTAACGTCTTTTCTTTTTGAGAAATGTAACGCCAATTTTAAAAAATAAGAGAACTGTTTCATCACCATTCATGCGCCACAATTTCACTTGGCGGTCATCTGCCCCTGAGACAATGAGAGGTAGAGTGGGATGGAATGCAGCCCAGTTGACTCCACGGTCATGGCCTTCCAAGACATACTTAACAACAGCATCAACACCACCAAAAAGATCAGTATTCATCTGACTTAACCTCAGAATATCATCTGCTGGAGACGCAGTCTTCTTTCTCAAGGAACCAATATCCCACACACGAACAGTCTGATCTAGAGAAGCAGACACAACAAGGTCTTCTTTTGGATGGAAAGATGCACACATTACATAATGATTGTGACCCGTCAAAACAGAAATACAAGTACGTGACTGCCAATTCCATATGCGGATGGTCTGATCATCACTAGCACTCACAATCCATGGGTGTTCATGATGAAACTGCACTGTGCGGATGTAATCAAGGTGTCCAAGGAGGGTGAATAGACACCTATGAGTCTTATAATTCCACACCTTTATCTTGTAGTCATCACCTGAAAAAGCCATTTATTTTAGTTGCAAACCTGCTCCATAAAAACCTTACTTTCAGTTAAAACAATGAATAAACAAAAGCATAAAGGAAACAAGAAAATCATCCACCAGATCTGCCGGTAAACAATACTTTCCTTCCATTTCAACAGAAGCCCCAAACCCAGGCTATTTTGAATCTTAATTTCAGAATTATCTACAACAAAAATGTCCACATTACAATAAATTATGGAAGTCCAAATATGCCTAACCAAGGTCAACTAATAACAACGTTTCTTGCTGGCTTAGTTGCCATCCATGAGAACTATAGTAGCCAAGAGTTTTAAATTTGAATATTTTGTCCTTGTGGAAAAATTAATAGATACCTAAAATCAGGGAACAATTTTTAATTGAAAGTTTACGTCTAAACGGGATGATTCTGTTTGGTGGTGGTGCATGAGTGCTGACGGGTAGACGGGGTGACTTTGTTTGGTTGTGGTGCATGAGTACTGGAACATATGTATTAATTTGCCACTACTTGTCCGCAGAACTTTGCCTGCAATCATGCAATTAAGTTCCCAACCTGTCAAACCTTCCCTGAACAATAGTGCCATTGGGTTTGCCAGCAAAACTTCTCGACCAACTTTACCGGCAGATATGGAATGGAGAAGCAACATAACGAGTCCAGAGCTGCAAATTTTTCGAACGCCAATCCACCCAATTGGCAGCAAGTTAAGCGCATTGGCAACACCTACAGTCTCCACTTGGTGGCACACCTCTCTCACGCCTCTGAGGACCATTTAGCCACCGTAGCAAAGCACTATCACCATCATGCCAATAGCAGTAGTCACAATGGTGATTATGGTGCCCAATCCTCCTGGCTTCATGTTTCTCAAAGAGCACTCCTAGACGTTGAAGGACCTTGAGTCTCATCTTGGTAAGACAAGAATTTTACTCCTAAGTCATTAAAATGAATTAGATTTTTTTAGATCTTTAACATTTAAGTTTTAAAAAAAAAACTAGTTAGGATTAGCCAAATTCATTAAGAAACGCCTTAATATAAGATGACTGCCAGCTGGTTTGACCATCAATCTTTGACATTTTTCAAGTAAGGCCCATTTATTAGTCACATAATAGTGTCTAGAAATTGAGTTTTCCTCAGAGCATTCGAGGTACCAAGTTCCTGTTAAAAAACAGTAAGAGAACATTATTTGATTTAAAGTCATGTCTTCAGGACTCAATTTTGGATACTGAATGCAATGAAACCAAGCAAGTCTGTTCCCATGGAATTATTTTGCTTACATTGTGATTTGTCATATGATAGTGATTTTGCAATTTGTTTTGAAAGTCAAAAAATATCTATAATTGCTTATGAATTCTTTTGTATCTTTTACATGCTATCTACAGTTGTATAGAAGGTATGCAGCTTTACCAATATTGTCAAGGATGAAACTCTATGAACTTAGTACTCCTCGACAAGCCTTAAGGTAAGGTGAGGTCTTTTATACCCTCAAGTTGGTATTCACGATATGAAAGCCGAGTTATGTACTTTTTCTTATAAAGTTTGAAGATATTATGAATAAATCGTATCAACAAATCATGTAAATGGTGCATGTGTGTGGATGAATTCATATTTGGGCTTGTCTCAATAAGATAATCATAAGAACCCTCTGCATGAAGATACTTGTCTTCAGAGAATAGGAATACATGATAAGGATGCCAGGTTGACCTTCGATTTTGATTGCTGTTTGAGGTACTTAAGGCCTTCTCTACATAACTTTTTGTTGACCTATAAAGGAGATACCTTTTGATTTTGACAGGAATCGTGGAGTTAAAAGTATTCATAACTTGACCCAAGATTATTCTCATTTCATGAGATGGACCCTAGCTCCTTGTGACTTGTGTCAAATGAGTAAGCCACATCCATGCTCACAAGAGTCAGTTTCTTAATTGTACCGCATGTACCTCCTTAATGATGTAATACCTCTTTTCGGCATACATATTCATATGTTATACAGAGATAGGTTTTCATCTGATTGC